CCCTAACATTAACACAATGTGATATAAATATGACATATAACAACTACTTATATGAAAGATTACATTCACATTTAAGTAAAGATGAAAAAAAATACCTTGTCGTCTTTTGTGAYTRTTACTAGTTTACGAGGCCACGCAATAAAGCAACCATTCGTTTGGTGAAGGGTCTCGATTTCACCCTCAATTGGAATAGGAAGACGAACATCTTCTTTTCCAATGATGACATCAACAGTAACCTTGACGTTATCMTTTYCTAATGGAACTCSATGGATCATACATTGTGTCTCTCCATCGAACATTGTGCCGATGRCAACAATGTTTTCAATTGACCCCAATGATAGTTTGCAAGTTTKTYCCTTCAAACAAAATAAACAAGTTATAATCGAAACAAGTTATATTAATAAACCTTTAAAAATATTTTATCTTACTTTTAATGGCAAYTCTGCTGGACCTTCAGGTTTATTGCATTCTTCGATATTCTTTTCCATTGGAGTACTCTTTCGACTGGCTCTGGASGAAGGTGRAGTTTGTTGATTTATGGGAGTTTGTTCGCGCRGTTGAATTGGTACTGGACTTGGTTGGCTTACTAAAGTTCCTYCCATGTTTGACCTACCCTTTACCTGATTGAAATAGTAGGAAGGTRAAACAAAAKCACCTACGCCCCGCACCCGTCCACAATGCTCCGGTGTTCCCAAMGCTTCTGTTARAACATCATCACCTTCATGTTTACTTTCTAACTCATCCTATTGCAAAATAAAGTTAACTAATTCAATTAACGATGAATGAAAAATCAAATTATATAGATATACTTMAAAAYCAATCAACTTACAATCTTTTGTGCAACACGTCGAGTCTGATCATTCGAATAATCATTTGTTGTTTTCTTTAGACGTGCATGCTTCCATAAACTTGCACGATTGGATGGTTTACCAGATTTTTTCTATATGACAAAATATAACAGAATACATTAAATGAMGGAGTATCAAACTCATTTGCAAAATAACATATGCAGTAAATAAGATAAACAAAAGCTCAAATTACTCACCARCTCCTCTRCTAAATTTGCATAACCTTTGCGTGATAGGTRATGGTTATATTTGTTGTAAGCTCTTCTTTCTTTCTGTGCAYGACTAAGATTCTACACAATAATATAAAACATGCATTTAATATAAATATACTTGATYAACTTATACTTATATCCAATGAAATTAAATTACMTGGAATTCTTCTGATAATCTAGCTCRAACAAATGCATCCCAATGAGACTGCTCAATATGGTCATATTTTTCTGGAGGAGAGGCCAAACATTGTGGTTGGTCCTTAAATGGAAGGATATAAGTCTGAGTCAATTTGGYCTTAAAAGTCCTATGTTTTCTCCCAGCCGATTGTAAAATRTTATGTCTCGCTCGAGGGTCAACTACAAATTTCATCTATTTYCAAATGAAAAAACAAATAATGGTCAAAATGCATGACGTAAAAAAGCGTGAGGTAATTAAATCATGATCTAAAACATACCTCAACACACTCAAAAATCATGTCTCTCAAGTCACGTGGGACTTTTTTCCAACTACTATATGTAATGGGAATTTGGTTCCTCACACAACATMCAATATAACTCTGCATCTTTTTAGCACTCTCTCCAATAGGTTGACCTTCATCATTATATGAAACCACTTTTYGCTCCTCGTTATCTTTTATGTGTGTTAATTCACGCATTGTGGTGACACCCCTAGCCACCCTCTCCCTCGACCCATCAGTACAAGAATTTGTTCCTACCTCGTTTGATTCCTTTTCGCTGCTACTACTTGC